CCACGTACTATTAGTGGCCGTCATTAAGATCGCTCTTTCATGCAAGAACAAGCCTGAAACTCAACAACAGATAGCACTGGATAAACTGAAAGACCCAGTGATACAAGCAGAAATAAGCAATGAAATAAACGCACAAATTCAAATATTAACGACAAACATTACCGAAGATCTAACACCAACATGGAATACGATTACAAGTGCTGTAACAGACATCATGAAAAACAACTTAGGGTACAAACGAAATAACAAGAGGCAAAAATGGATGACAGAAGAAATACTATTACTAATGGAAGAACGACGAAGACACAAGAATAACCAAGATGGCAGCAATATGTATGAAAACATTAACAGGCAAATAAAAGCAAAAATAAGAATAGCAAAAAATGAATGGCTTAAGCAACAATGTATCGATCTAGAACATTTACAACGACAGCACGACGACCGTAATTTACATAAAAAGCTTAAGGAGACTGCTGGAATATACAGAAAACGAAGACCAACTACCATAGTTAATCAGGATAACCAGATAGTGCTGGGTGAAAAGGAGAAAATTGATATATGGGAAAATTATATCCAGGAGCTCTTCCATGACGAAAGACCCATGAGTGAAGTTTATACAGACGACCAGCTGACTGGCCCTTCAATCACCAAAGAGGAGATAGAAAAAGCAATATTAAATTCAAAAAACAATAAGGCACCTGGACCAGATGAGATCCCGTCAGAAATACTCAAATTACTAGATGAAAGGGGAATTTCAGCACTACACAAAATATTTAATTTAATTTATGAAACTGGCTGCTATCCTCAACAGTGGTTACGCTCTACCTTTATTCCCCTGCCCAAGAAAGTCAATGCAAAAAGATGTGAGGATCACAGACTCATTAGCCTGATGAGTCACACTTTAAAGATATTCTTAAAAATACTACATCAAAGATTATACAAAAAATGTGAATGGGACATCAGTGATTCCCAGTTCGGGTTTAGGCAAGGTTTAGGAACACGAGAAGCAATAGTAGCAACACAGGTGCTGGTCCAAAATTGTTACGATCAGAGGAAGGATGTGTTCCTATGCTTTTTAGATTACCAAAAAGCGTTTGATCGTGTCCAACACCACAAGTTAATGCAGATTCTCAAGAAAGTTGATATAGACCAAAAAGACATAAGATGCATTGAAAACTTGTACTGGCATCAAACGGCACAGCTAAAAATAGACAATTCTATATCCAAGCCCATACATATAAGAAGAGGCGTTCGACAGGGATGTGTGCTTTCCCCTCTTTTATTTAACATTTATTCGGAAGCCATATTTCAAGAGTCTTTGGAGGATGCAGAGATGGGAATCAAGGTGAATGGAGTATTGATCAACAACATACGATATGCTGATGATGGTGTCTTAATTTGTGACAACATAGTCGATCTTCAACAACTTGTCACTATAATCGGAGAATACAGTGAGCGAATGGGATTAGAGATTAATACCAAAAAGACCAAATTCATGATCATCTCCAGAAACTTGGATGCACTTGAAAACTCCACCATAACACTGAATAGTAAATCCATAGAAAGAGTGAGTAAATTTAAATACCTGGGATCGTGGCTTTTTGAAGACTGGGCATCGGACAGGGAAGTAAAATGTCGCATTGAGCAAGCTCGACAAGCTTTCGTAAAATTCAAGAAGGTACTGACTTGTTCAGAGTTCGATCTTCAACTGAGACTAAGGTTTACTAAGTGCTACGTATGGTCAGTGCTGCTATATGGCGTAGAGGGCTGGACACTCAAAACGAGGGATATAAACAGATTAGAAGCTTTCGAAATGTGGCTTTATCGCCGTATCCTAAAAATACCATGGACAGCGAAAATCACAAATATAGATGTCCTTAAAAGAATAAACCAAGAACGCCAACTTTTCGAAACCATCAAGAAAAGGAAAACGGCGTATCTAGGTCACATCATGCGAAATGAAAAATACCAGTTCCTCCAACTTATAATCGAGGGTAAAATTGAAGGCAAGAGAGGAATGGGACGCAAGAAAATGTCCTGGCTCCGAAACATAAGGCAATGGACAGGGATTAACGACATACAATCTCTGATACATATTGCAAGAAATAGAGAATTAATGGAAAATGTGATCGCTAACATCCATTAGTGGATTTGCATCTGAAGAAGAAGAAGAAACATGTCATGTTATAGGGTGAACGAAGAACTACAAATTTGCTTCTGGACGATACAGGTATGATCGTATTATCTTTTTCTTCTCTGTTTCGGCAATAAACTTCACTCCAAATTTTCAAGGAGCCATACAACACTTGTGGTACACTTCCACTTTCATATAAGCTATTAAAAAGATTAATTGTTTGATGACATTTTAGCTTAGATGTTAAACATGTTTGGTTCCTATCAGGTCTTCTCCAGGTGCTTTGTTGCTCTTGATTTCTAAGGTAGCTTGTTTTTAGTGGTGTAGATGTTTTTATTTACCACTAAAGATAAATGTTTAGGTTTCCATTGTCTCCATCCATGTTAAGCCTCCATCTTTTCCTATCTCTCCAATCTCCCTCTTCTAAGCCTCTAGATTGCATTATTTTTGTAATTTCTCTTCTCCAGGAATTTGGTGGTCTTCCCCTTTTCCTTCTTTCTGGCGGAACATACATTAAGGACCACAGCTCCTCCTCCATTCTCATCACGTGACCATACCATTGTAGTTGCCTTCGCTGTATTCTATCTGAAAGAGTATCTAAGTCCTGTACGGTTTCGTATTTCCTCATTCCTGATTCTTTACATTCTCGATACTCGACATGACCTTCTAAGATAATTCATTTCCACAACGTCTACATTATCTCGTTCATTCTTTGTCATCGTCCAACATTCGGCACCATATGTGATAATCGGTTCTACAATTGCTCTGTATACACGAAGTTTGGTATGCATCTTTATTTTATTAGACCACAGTATTTGGATGCATTTTTCCCTTGGGTTATTCGGTTTCGTACATCTATCTTAACTCTGCCATCTGCTGATATGATGCTTCCTAGATATTTATACTGGTTGCAACCTTTTATGACTGCGTTTTCAAGCCTCAGATCTGTGGTATTTCCTCCAATTTTTAAATATTCTGTTTTGCTTATGTTTACAGTAAGCCTCCATTTGGCATATTTTTCAAATAATTTTCGATTCATATAATTTATATCTTCCTCATCGGTTGCAACTCCTCAATGCTTCTTGGACGTATATTTTAAAGAGTGTCGGTTACAAACAGCATCCTTGCTTTAGGCCTTTAGTGACTTTAAATTCATTTGAAGTTCTGGTTCCAATTTTTACACAACGAACTGTTTTTGTGTACAATTTATATATCGCTCGGATATACGTCGAATCCAATCCGGACCTTTCGAGGACCTCAAACATTTTCTTTAACGGGACACTATCATATGCTTTCTCAAGGTCTATAAATACCAAATGGGTCTCTCTACTTCTTTCGACACGCTTTTCAATTATTTGTCGTAGGATAAATATATTATCAATACAGGATCTCCCGGTACGAAAGCCGCTTTGTTCTTCAATATCTTGTATCTGTTGTTCAACCCTCTTCTTTAATATTCTGCCGTACAACCGGCCCACAGAGCTCGTCACACTAATACCTCTATAATTGGAACAGTCTCTTTTATTCCCTCAATTATATATGGAGCTTATGTAAGATCTATTCCAATCTTTAAAATTTCCTGGTCTCCACACATACATTTATTAAAAAGGTCTACTATAAATTTCAAAAGTGCAGTCGGCCCATATTTAACCAGCTCTATGGGAATGTCTCCAGGCCCTGCGGCTTTTCAGTTTTTAACCTCTTTTAAGGTTTCCGTCAATTCAGATAACGTTATTATAGGGATTTCCTGTCTTTCGTCTCTGTTATCTATTAATTCCCTTATCTTGTCCCATCTGTACTCTACTCTATCCTCTTTCAGCAGTTTCTTAAAATATTCTTCCCATTCATTTAACTTTATGAGAGGAATGTTCTCTTCATTTTTCTCATTTTTCCTAAACTGCTTTAATGTTTTCCAAGCTTGTGCCACTTTTGTTCCACACATAAATCTGTCCAGTTCATCACACTTAGCCTCCCAGTTTACATTTTTCGCCTTATCCACTTCTTTTTTAACTTCTCTATTCCATTTGGCGTATATTTCTCTGTCTTGAGGATCTTTGGATTGAAGCCATATGTGATATGCTTCATTATGTGATATGCTATATTTGTTTCCCAACTTGCCTATTATTCTCTTAATATATTTACACGTTTCTGGCATTTACCAAGCGTCTTCTTTCCATCAGATGCAGAATTTCGTTTGTTATCTACGGTTTTATCTGCCTGAGGAAGTTTTTTCCCATGTCTAGAACCAGATATCTTATTTACAACTATTATTTTCATATCCAGCAGTGTGTTTACCTTTTTTCGTGTAGCTTTTGTTGTCTTTGGTTGGCCTTCTAATTTTCTGTCTTGACTTGGGCTTTTCGATTCTTTTAAGTCATCATTATTGTGTCGCTGATTTCCTCCGGATTTCTACTTTTTGTTTTAATATAACCGTCTCCTTTTATCTTATCTCGCTCATTCCAATGATATCCCACTGCTAACCTTGCACAGTTAACCACGTCTCATTTATTTTTATGTTCCATCAAAGCCGCTATATATCGTGACCACCATTCTGGGTATTTTTATTTTTATTTTCCACTTCTAATTTCTCTTTTGCTTTATTATACATTGCTTTCTTTATCTAGTCATATAATGTGAACAGACCTTCAATCAACAACATTATAAACTTAACACACAAGAATAAATCATGTAAATGTATTTTACAGGCCGATTTTAAACAGTACAGTCGATTTGAATAAATGACAAAAATTAAATTTTACCCCTAATTATACATTAAATACAAGCTTAAAGTGCACTAAGTACAGGCATGAATGCTATAAGTGTATTTATGTCCATGCGAAACGTGCAATTAGTACGTTTTACTCACATATTATCCGTTCCTGGCATCATTGTTACAACTGAAAATGAAATATTCTTAAATATCGTATAATACAGTTTGATATACTTTAACCAATATGTAAAACTGAAGGAAAACTAAAGGAAAAAGTGCTAGAAGTCAAAGAAAAAGACTAAACGAGATCGTTGATACAAGCATAAAATAAAAATTTTGCACAATTAATAGAAGAAAAACAGTTTTGGGAAAAATCAACTTTATTGTTATTCAAAGTAATCGCCTCCAAGATCAATTTACTTTTGCATTCGAACAAACCAATCGTTGAAGCATCAATACCATTCTGAAATAAATGAGATTCTTGTATGCTTTGATCGCTTTATCTGGCGTCTTAAAACGTTTATCGCGTAGTTTGGTTTTGATTCTCGTGCAAACTTTTGTTCTAAACTTATGCCAAAACGAACTATGTGAATAACAGAAAACATCAGCTGGAAATTAGTAAATTCTATTTAGCAAAAGGGTGGTAGTACTGGTAGTCATATGCCACAGTGAACCATCATCCAGTCCAAGATGGCTTCCCGTGCACATAGTTCACATCGTCATGACATTGTTGATAGAAATTCTAGTGAAGATGAACACGCTGATTTCAGTAATGGGTCTTCAGATGATTACCATCCAAGTTCTGATTCGGATATTACAGAATCAGGTAAGATAATAATATTTATTGCCATAAAACTTCATTATCAAAGTTTGGTTATGTTTTGGAACGTTTCTTTTGCCAAAGTGAACCATGTGCAAATTTATTTCTTGCAGTGTCCACTGGGAGTGCTAGTGAAATATGAGCAGTTATACCAACCTAAGAACATAGTATTTACCCATCTATATAAGAATGAAGCAATATATTCCATTAATTTATATTGGAATTGTAAAAAAAAATTAAAATCACATAGTTCACTTTGGCAAAAGAGAACGTAAATTGTCTGTCTTATGCATAGTGAATGTGTGTTTCAAATTATTTTTATGTTATAACATAAAAAAGTAATGTAAAATATTTACTTATATAAAATATTTTTGTGTTTTTACAGATGAAAAAAATACCAGAGGGCAGGAAGAACCTCAAGACAAGAAGAGAAAATCTGATCCTAAGAAGTGAAAAAAAAAATATTCGCAAGCAAAAAAGGGCAGCTGGTAAAGAATATATCAATACTTCAGGTACTGTCATACACTCTAAATCTTTTAATGACTATTCCTGCAATTGCAAAATAAACTGCCAAAATAAGCTTACAGCACAGCAAAACAATTTCTGCCCAAAAATTTCGCCCGGCACCCTTCAGATTTGTTTAAAGGGGACATTTTTGAACCGGAATCCGCGAAGAAACCGAATCAGAAACATTTTCCCAACGGGAGCGGCCTCACAGCCTGGACTATAAAAATATGTACAATAATCAGTTTACTGCTTTCTCACGTCTCTCTAGGAAGGAACGCGTCTTTCACACAATGTCGATATGATGAGACAATAAAAATGTCCGCTGCGTTTCGTAGCGCCGTCCAAACTGAAAGACGAGCTTCTTTTGAAGTCGCGGAATAAACCGCAACAATTTGGTTCGCGACGAGTCACGATGAAACAGTACGCATACAGTACGCAAGTGGTTTTTTCTGCCGTACACATTAACGAATATAGCGTTCGCATACCGTTTGGCTCGTATATGTGTACCGAGCTTTAGAAAGACACTGTGAAACTCCGTAGACTTTGGTCAGCTACGAAACAGCCATGGCTCCTACACTACATTCTTATCAAAGTGTATCTCGGTAGATTTCTTAGAAAATAAAAAAAGATTGCGTGGCGATTATCACATTCAACAATTTAGCGATAAAATCTGACATAAATAAAAGTCCACAATTTAGTATGGATTCAACTTGATTCTAACTCTAAAAAATTACTTGAGTTATTGTATATTACTTGTAAGAATATATAAATTACTTGTAAGAATATTGTAGAAAGTTATTGGCAACAGAGCTAGAATCTACAAAACTACAGTCACATTAAAATTCTGGCGTGTTAATACATCCATTTAACTCCGTTCATAAATTTCATATATTTACATTCAAGTTCACTCACAATCTTGCCAAAAATAAAAGTAAACAAATGAACTTGAATTCAACGAAGCAACACGTTGGCCAATCAACGGTGGTGGTGTTCTATTAAGATAGAGATGGGTAATTAAGGTATTTTTGGAACTGTTGAGGATCGATATGTGAAGTGCCCTATAATTAACGCATTTATTGTGAACAATAAATATCAGCAAATATGAATAAGAAAAAGTCAATCATGTTTAATTATTAATGTCAAAATACAACTTTGAGATAGAATTAGATATCAAGAAAATAGTCAACACAAAAAAAGAAAGGAATAACACCAGCTTTTAGAACAAACAACAACTTGGGCAAATATATTAAAAATAACAAGAGCCAAAATAAAAAGCACTTACACGGTGGTGTATACAACCTTAAATGTGGCGACTGCCAAAAACTTACATCGGTCAAACTGGTAGAACTTTTAACAAACGAATAGGAGAACATAAAAGGACTTTTAATAATAGAAAAGAGATTCTATAAGGCACTTCACCTTCTAGATCATAATCATTCTTTTAATGACGAATTTCAAATTCTGCACATCCAAAATAAAGGCCTTAAGCTATCTTTGTTAGAATCTATGGAAATTAAAAAATTACAAAACACAGATATAATTCTACATGATCAACTTGAGTTCTCCCTTCCTCAACTTATTCGGTTAAAGACTACGAAGTGTAAAAAATTTTGTTTTAGTTTTGAAAACAAAGTTTTCAGTGTTTTATTGTTATAAAGAGTAATTATTCAAAAGATGTTTCTAGTTGTTTCAAAAAGTTTCTAGAGATGGCTTTTATTTTTCAAGAGAAAGAAACCATCAATAAAACGACAGATACCAACAATTTGAGCAACTTATATTCATTATCTTCTAATTTATTTTTATCTGACTCATTTATATTGACAATTCAGACATACATTATGCATTTAAAGTAAAATTTTAAGTGAAATTAACAACCGCCCAGATCTTCCAAAATATGTGTCGTTTATTATTATATAAATTCTTAAAGCAAATTAATTCTAAGTAAGTAAATATGAGTTATCCACAATTATATAGTAAAATTATCTAAAACATTTTAGAGGTTTCATTTTTATAATCGGGTAGATTATTATTACAACTGAATAATTTTTACAATTAAAATGTCTGAGCTACATGAGAAATGAAAATGAATTACTGTTTGACTGGGAATGGGCCACAATTAAAGGTTAAAATACTAAAGTATTATAAGTATTATAAATATTTAAAGTCGTCTACTTTAAAATGCATAATGTATGTCTTATACTCATTATATTATCATCGTCAATAATATAAGTTTCATTATATATGTGTGATATAATATCTCTTCTATTTCAAAAAATAAGTCATTTTGTTTCATATCATTACCTTTACATATGTAAAGGTAATAGATATAAGACTAACATCCAACGTTTAGTCGTTTTAATTTAATAATTATATGAATTTAAAACCAATTATTTTGTTTCTGATTAGGTGTATGTATAACCTAGAATTTTTATAATACGACTACATTATCTGTGATAATTTTATGACATAATTTTACTTAAATGTTTGTCTGTAAAATTTTTTAAATAAAATATGTGTTTTGTGACGAAACGTTTTTAAAACAAATAATTTTTTGGATAGTTTTCTCTATTATTTGTAGGAACCAGATGAGTTGTTTATTCATTTTTTTAACACCATGACAACTAACCTCAATTAGTGTAAAATAATTTTTATTCTGTAATTTGTATTAATTTTGTTTACTGTAGCAGATGATGCTTAATGATGCAAATAAAGATTTGCAAAAGCTTGGTAAACTAAAAAGAGTACTTCTTTATCATGTCTTCCGCTGCACACCAAAATAGTTATGTTATAAACCTTTAAACTACTGAATATTAAATCATTAGCAAACTTTCTTCAAAACAGGTCCACACAAGTAAAAACGAATGGATTCATGTCAACATCGAAATCACTCCATAATGGAATTCCTTAAGGATCGACTTAAGTCCACTATTATTCTTAATCGCAATAAATAACATAACAAACCGCATAAAGCTTCCCATAAAAACTAATCTTTTTGCTGATGATCTAGTAATATATATTAAAAGTAAAAACATAGAATTAGCTACGCAAATGTTACAGAACATTAAACAGCGTAGAAATGTGGTCTTTAGAGACTGGTTAACTTTTTTCAACTGAGAAGACTAAAGTATTGTTTGACAAAAGAAGAGCGGAATACAACTTAAAATTGTGTCTAAATGGTCATTCTCTGAAACAAGTCCGCGAAATCAAATTTTTGGGTGTAATATTTGACTCACAACTCACATGGACTTCACATATCAACAATTTGATCAAATCCTGTCAACAAAGAATAAACTTACTAAGAGTTTTATCCAATCATAGATGGGGTTAAGATACTAAAATTCTTCTAAATTTATATCAGACATTAATAAGAAGCAAACTCGACTACGAATGCATCTGTTATGAAACAGCAAACAAAAATCAACTAAAAAAACTGGATGTTATTCAAACCACATCTCTACTACTAATCTTTGGAGCATTTAGAACTACTGCAATAAGAAGCCTTCAGAAGCAGGAGAAATGCCACTATACATACCTCAGAAGACAGAAGACCTTTCTCGCAAGTTTAGTATCGGAAGAATCACTAGAACAATACACAAGATACACCACCAAGACAGTACCATTTTACGAACGAGTTAAAAGACTACCGTATTATATCAATTAAATCACCTTTGCACCAATAAAAATATACCAGACACCTCCCTGGACAGTTTTTTACCAATAATAGAGCTCTCCTTACTTAATCATGGTAAGCATTCACACATTTCTGCTAAGGTCAGGCTTCCGTATCATGCAAATTTACTTAAATATTCCAATTACAAGTTGTTCTTCACTGATGCCTTCAAAGATTGCAACGGAATAGC